CTTCCTTCCTTCCTTCCTTCCTTCCTTCCTTCCTTCCTTCCTTCCTTCCTTCCTTCCTTCTTTCCTCCCTCCCTCCCTCCCTCCCTCCCTCCCTCCTCCTTCTTCTAATGATTATTTTTTTTCATTGATATTTTGCCTGCATGTGTGTCTGTGTGAGTGTATAGAGCCCCTGGAATTGGAGTTACAGACAGTTGCGAGCTGCTATAATGCGGGTGCTGGGAATTGAATCCTGTTCTCTGAAAGAGCAGCCAGTGCTCTTAACCACTGAGCCATCTCTCCGGTCCTGATACAGCCTTTTGCCTCAGCTGCCTGAGTACTGGGATGACAGCTGTGAGCGGAGAGATAGAGAGAGCAGGAGAGTGAGAGAGAGTGAGGTAGGACACCAACTCAGTTCCTCAGAGTCGTCCACCAGGCGCCCTTGGAAGTTGGAGGGATGGCTCAGCGGCCAGCAGCATTTCCTGCTCTTGTAGAGCACTCCAGATGACTCCTCCACGAGCACCCACATCAGGTAGCCCACAGCTGCCTGTAGCTCTAATTCCAGAGAATCTGACCTTTCTGTGGCCTCTGTGGGTACCTGCATGCATGTGCGTATACTCTACCTTACACAATGAAAAATAAAAGAAATAAAAAAAATTCCTCTCAACTGCAAAGTCACCTCTTGCTTAGGTCTGAGGGTTGTGTGTGTGCGCACGTGCGCGCTTGCGTGCGCCTTCCGTCATGTGGATTATGGGAATCCATCCTGCTGGCCTGTTGTCTGCATGCTCACTGCTGTGCCTGCTCTGTACACCTGAAGTCGCAGTACAGAGAGGACTCAGTGTAATGATGTCATGTGCCCGGCACACGCAGTTCCCTGAAATCGCTCCCTGAAATCCTCTTACCTCTCTGTAGTAGCCAGACACTTCACCTGAGAGGCTGTTCTAGGTCAAGGCACTGCTGAGTCCCAGAGGGTCTTGTCTGAATGCGGAAACCCCTGTCAGCCACCATTCTGTGACCTCTCCGGGCCAGGCACCTCCTCCTACCCTCACCTCCCTGCTGCTGCCGCCGCCCGAGATTACTCCTCCTTCATTCTGTAAAGTTTTGCTGAGCATCAGTGCTTCTGTGACCAGCGCGTGGTGCCTGTCAGTTTGGCGGGACAGGAAACACGCGTGTAGTGAGTCATCAAGTAATCTGTGTTCTAATCCCACCCCTGCCACCGAAGCTTGCATGCTCTGAGAAGGTAAAGTTACTGTGATGGCAATCCCAGCATCATGGTTTCAGAGCGTGTTACTGCGTCGTGGTGGGGAAGGCTTGGCAGAGTTAAGGGTGGCATGCGGTGGGTATCGGGGGCTCCTCCTATCAGCCTTGCGTAGGGAGCAACCGATCCAGAATGAGCTTCAGAGGCCCGCTTTTGCCAGCTAGAATTCACCTCCTAAAAATTCTTTAGCCACCCAAAATGGTGCAACCATTTGGGAACAAACACTCAAAAGGAGCCTGTGGGGACACTTCAGATTCAAACCGTAACATCCCCTTTAGGCCTTCATATCCTCATCAGGATATGAACAAACACTCAAAAGGAGCCTGTGGGGACACTTCAGATTCAAACCGTAACATCCCCTTTAGGCCTTCATATCCTCATCAGCAGAATGGGGGTACAGTGACCTCATTGGAACCAAGCCCGGGGTAACAAGCAGCAGCCGTTATGGTGGCCCTGGAGGGCCTGGGGCCAGGTTAGGTTGTGGGTACGACTAACCACCTGCTCCTTGTAGACTTAACCCATGTCTCTAATCCAGGACGCGGTGACCTACTTCCTGAACCTGAGCCAGGCCAGTGCACACGAGACCCCACGCTGGGAGCAGGAGTACCGCCTGACAGAGGCCTACCAGGTGCAGGATGCAGGCACGGGCTCCATGCACACGGCGCTGACCCGAATCGCCAGCGAGCCTCACATCCTGCAGCGTTATTACGTCTACAACTCGGTCAGCTACGACCATTCCACCTGCGGGGACATCTGCCGCGCCGAGCACGTGTGTGCCATGCAACAGGTGGCCTTCGGCACTTACGCTACCTGCCTGCGTGGCCTGGGCACCCAGCTGGTGCCTGGTTTCCCGCTGGTCCTGGCCCTGCTGCCCAGCCTGCTCGTGTTGGCGGTGCTGTGACTGCGGGCACTGCCAGCCTACCCTCCCAGCCAGGGACATCTTTCTCCTGGTAACATTGGGCAACGTCATCCCATGTAGAGATAAACTTTGCCATCGGTCTCCCCCGTCTGCGGAGAGTAAATGGCATGGGACCTTTGGGTTCACCAGAGAGGTCCCTACGAAGCTCGCTGCTTCCAAGTTTCATGTTTTAGCCACAAAACATGCACGTGGTACACGCCTTTGTCCTTTATTCTGTTTAATACGTATCAGACTGCCGTGCACTCGATCACCCCGTAAAACGAGCCGCCAGGAAGATGGGCCCAGTGGAGATCCTGTGCGCTCGGTGTAGCCCCTGCTCAAGGCCTGAACTGGGCGCCCATGCGGTCTGCAAAACCCCTAGGTACTTTTAAAGAGACTTTGCTGGTTCGGTGTCGCAACAGTGCGACCGTGAGGGATCACAGTTGTGGCCCCGGACTCTAGGCTCTCTCGTAGTCCGTTCTTGGCTCCCTTGAGCCTCAAACGTAAAATCCAAACCAGTAGAAGCCGGACTTTGAACGAGGCGGGCTGGGGGCGGGGCCTGGGCGGCGGGACGGGCTGTGGGGCGGGGTCGCGGGCTCGCTCCTCCCCGGACAGGGCGAGAAGGGGAAGTTCCGCCCAGCAGCCCGGCCTCCCGGAGGACTGCCCCGCCCTCTTCCTGCCCCTTGAGCGGGGGCTGCAGGGCAGGTCCGCGGTGGCAGGGCTGGCTGGAGGGCCATGCCCTTGTCGCCGAACACTCATGTGTTCTTGCAACTGGTCGTGGTCTCGGGAGGCACCCTGTCTTTCCTGCTGGACCTGGCCTGCGACGTGTGGGCCACCGTCCAGTACTTGCTCGTTGGCCGTTACCTGTGGGCCGCGCTGGTCCTGGCGCTGCTGGGCTTCTCTTCCGTGCAGCTGCAGCTCTTCAGCTGGATTTGGTTGACAGCTGACCCCCCGGAGCTGCACGGGTCGCTGCCCTCGCGACGTTTCCTGGCTGGGCTGCACCTGCTGCAGCTCGGCTACCTGTACAGGTGAGTGCCTGGCCCGTCGAGGAAAGGGGGACGTGATGGGCTGACAGACTGGCCAGGCCAGTCTTCCCCCGGGCACTTGGTGAAGACACAGGCCCAGGAAAGATGAAGGGGGCTTCCGGGCCTCCGGGCCTCCGAGTCAGACATTCTCCAGGACCCGAGGTTGGCACTGCCACCTGTGAATTCCGTGTTTCTCTTGTGCTGCTTTTGGTGTACTCAATGGTAGTCATGTGAGGAGGGCAGGCTGCACAGCCAGAAGTGAGGGTAGTGAGAAAGTCCCTGGTATAACATGGGTCTGAGGACTGCGTTTATTTAGTTCGTTCGTTTGGTTGGCTTTTTGAGACAAGGTTTTCCTGTGTAGCCCTGGCTGTTCCGGAACTCAGAGGTCCACGTACCCCTCCCTGCCTCCAGAGTGCTGGGATTAAAAGTGTGTGGCACACCTGCTGTCTTATTATTTTTATTGTGAATAGGACCGTGAGTGAGCCATTGACCTCTCTGAGTCTCGGGTTTAAAAAAAAAAATTTAATTTTCCCTTATTTTATGTGCATTGGTGTGAGGGTGTCAGGCCCGGAGTTAGACAGTTGTGAGCTGCCATGTGGGCGGTGGGAATTGAACTCAGGTCCTTGAACTCAGTGTCCTAGCTTGTATGGCAATATTTGCTTCTGGTGTCCTGGGCAGAATAAAGGCATATGTTCGTAAATTATCCTGGCACAGTTAGCTTCATGCTTGCCTGGGTCACCTCCGGTCAGCATCCGCGACTTCCAGGACACTGCCCCTTCCTTTTCTTTTTCATTTCTGTCCTTTTCTCTGAACGTTTGCTTCCGCATCAGGGACCGAAATGGGCAGAGATGGGTCCTGCTTGACTCACCAGTCTGTGTCTCTGGAACCAGCCAGGGCTGGACACAGACTGGTTCTGAACTGGGCAGGCCCCATGTTCAGCCAGAAGAGAAGACAGCAGAGAAAGTCCCTGGCACAGTGCTGGCCTGAGGAGTGTTTTAATCATGACTAGGCCCTTGGGTGAGATGGAAGAAAGTGACACCAAGGGGTCAGGGTCACGTCATTCAGCAGGGCTTCCTGGCATGCTCTGGGTTGGGATGGGGTGGCTGGATCCAGAACCGCTTGTGGAATCCTCATATCTTGACAAAGCTGCAAGTAGTCTCCAGCTGTGGGGAGGGATCTTTGCATGTCTGCATTTTGCCTGAGGGATTGCATCATCTCGTGTACAGCTCTGATGAGTAGGAAGGACAGTTATTACAGGCAGGCCGGAAGAGGAGAGGGGTGCCTTGGGTCGAGTTACAGGTGAGTTACCTCCCGTGCTGGGAGCTAAGCTCTGGTCCTCTGCAAGAGCAGTGAATTCAGTTACCTGCTAAGCCATCTCTCAGGCGCCTCCCATTTGCTTAATTCCATTTCCCTTCTCTCAAATGGGCCCTGTGTGAGTAAGTAGGACGGGGTTGTGATAAGCTTGGGATCATGCCTGACCATCAAGAGAAGTTGTATTTCCCCCCTTCTGAATGAGGACACCAGTTCCGTGAGTTTGGTGGCTTGCCCTAGGTTACACCGCTCTGAAGTGACAAGCCGGGCTGGAAGGCTGCCCTCGTGCGCTTGGTGGCAGGAGATGGAAGAACTCACAGACCGCTGACCTGGCCCACTTGGGCGTGTGTGTGTTCTGCCTAGGTGCTTTCAAGGGCTGAAGCAGGGGCTGCTGATGTGGCACCAGGAGCTGCCATCTGAGTATGACCTGGCCTATGCAGACTTCCTCTCCATGGACATCAGCATGCTACGGCTCTTCGAGAGCTTCCTGGAGGCAACGCCGCAGCTCACACTGGTGCTGGCTATCGTGTTGCAGAGTGGCCAGGCCGAATACTACCAGTGTGAGTGCTGGGCTGTCGCCGTCGGTGGCCTTGCAGTGTCAGCAGTGGTCTCGCTCTCAGGCAGATGAAAAGATTGCGAGACCGAGCTTTAGGCAGTCGATCTAAAGTCATTTTCAGGCTGCACGAGCTTAGAAAGGCGACCTATCTCACGGGGTAACGAGATTAAATGTGGGGAATATATATATAAAGCCCGGAGTCCGGCACATACTAGATCTTGTTTTGTGTACATGTGTACATGTTTGTGTGTTTTTATAGGTGCATGTGTACATGCAGAAACCAGAGGTCAGTGACAGGTGTATTTCTCTCCATCTTTTATTTTATTTTTGAGACAGGGTATCACTGTGTAGGCCAGGCTGACCTGGTAGTTATTATGTAGACCAGGCTGGCCTTGAACTCACAGAAATCCTTCTGCTTCTGCCTCCCCGATGCTGTACTTTCTATTATTTTGATGGTAATAAAATATGGTTGCCTGACACATTAATAGGTTTGCTAGAAGATTGGTACTTTATTGAGCTCTGCCTCAACCTGCATGGTTTAGGGATTGACCTAACTGGCAACCAGAATGAAAAAAAACAAGATAGTCTAAAAAGCTGGGATCAGGTGGGCCTTGAGCTCTGAAACAGCAGCGCGGCACATCTGGAGGTCTCTGTAGGGGTCCATCTCCGGTTGAGTCACGAGAGGAGGAAGCTGCAGTTGACAGTTTGTACATATACTGGTTTTAGTTAAAAGTCAGCTGTTTCCAAATCTCTGTAGTCTGGGGGTCTGGGGCATTGGGGTCCTTGATGTGGCCATGCCCACGGCAGTCACACACATCTCTGCGGGACTTCTGTGGTCCCCACAGAGCACCTTCACATTTCTGGGGACACAGCAGTGAACAAGACACCTTGGGCCTCCACCCAGGCAACCATTTAGGCGACCAGCCTGAGACTAAGCAGGGCTCTGTCTCACACCTGAGGTGTGCCCATGGCACCCCTTTTTGCTCCCCATTGCTTCATGCCTCAAGGTCCTCTGCAGCACCTCCCAAGAGAACCTGTCTTGTCATCACTTGTACTGGGGCCTGGGAGAACTTCTCACATCTGATCAGAGGAGAGCAGTGCAGGAAGGCGCTCACTTTGAGCACTCGCTCTGGTACATGGGATCAGAGCCAGGTGGAGCAGGTCTACACTGTTGGTAGTGCAAGAGGAGACTGGTTTTTTCTAATTTTTTGATTAAGCACTTATTATGTGCCACATATTGGGCCTCACCTGAGGACCCCAGATGAGCTGAATCAGTTTAACCTCTGAAAGCTCAAAGATGGAAAACAGGGGCCTGGAGAGATGGCTCAGCAGTTAAGAGCACTGACAGCTCTACCAGAGGACCAGGGTTCAATTCCCAGCAACCACACGGCAGCTCACAGCTATCTATAACTCCAGTTATCTGACACCTTCACACAGACATACACACAGGCAAAATACCAACACACATAAAAATAAATAATAAATAGTAAGAAAAAAAAAAACAGGCTGGGCCATTGTGGCACACTCTTTTGATCCTAGCACTTGGGAGGCAGACGCAGGTGGATCTCTGTGAGTTCTAGGCCATCCTGGTCTATAGAGTGAGTTCCAGGACAACCAGGGCCACACAGAGCAACCATGTCTTCAAAAACAAACCAACCAACCAAAACAGGTAATTGCTATGTTAATGGGGTGGTTGGGTTGTTACAGGGGCCTCTGGCAACAGAGTGGGCTCTAGATGGGCATCCCCAGAAGATAGTCAGGCTAGGGTTTGTAGGGTGAGGAGTTAGCAGGTAGTTAAGAGATGGGGGTAGCTACAGATTTGATACCAGGCCTCACGTGGCCTCTGGGGCACATAGTAGATCTCAGTAATCTGTTGAGTGAATGAGTCAGAAGAGGTGAGGGAAGACAGGTAGGGCACGCCTGAATTACTCCATCCTCCTTGGAGGCTCCAGTACTCTAGGCAATGCAGAGGTGGGACAGGAGCCCTGTCACAAACTCCTGGATCTTGGTCAGGCTGCACAAGGGGGAGAGTGAAGAGGGGTGGGCAGGCCATCGCTCCCAGTCCTGAGGACAGCTGTTACTGAGGCCTGCTGCTACACTGTGGGATATGCCTACTTTATAGCATGGAGAAAGGGGCCTAGGGCTGGTCATCTACACAGCCTGGGAACTTGGGCTTTCCTGGGAAAGGAAGGACTACAGAACCTGGAGTAGGCTTAGGGCACGGCTAAGGCACGGTCCGGTCTTTATGTCACATACCCTGCCATACTGAATGTTACCAGGGCGGCATTTGAAAGCAGAGCACTCTCTCTTGCTGGAACTTAACTGAATGTTCTCCAAGTG